AGGGCTGCGGGGTGGGGATGGGCGGGCAGGGGTCTGCGGGAGGCAGCCCCGGGGAGCAGAGCATGCTGCAGAGCACGGGTTACGTGCTCACGTCCTTCTGCCTACAATAACTTTGTAGCTGGGCTCCCGGCGGGGATTTCAGGCGGCGGCTCAGCCAGCAAAGCTGATTTATTTGCGCAGATCCAGGCAGCAGCTTGCAAGGTGCGGGGAGGGTGGAGTATGAAATCACATTTATGGTGAGAGGGTCAGATTTGCAGCCCAAGAGCCTTGTTATCTCCCTGCTCCGTTCCTCCGGTCCCTCCAAGCGCAGCTCCTACTTAACGGCGAGTGTTGGGTCGGTGCCTGCTCGCTGGATTATTGCCGGGCAGCAACAGGCAGCGCTTGCTCGCGGGACGCCGAAGCCGTGGGTATTGCCTCCGTTGGCTGGGGTGATAAACTGCATCCCGAAGACCCCCTCCCCAAAAGTAGCAGATACCTATAGGTCCCCAGTCCTGTGCTTTCTAAGCACCCCGTAGGCTCTTGTGCACCCACAGCGGGCAAAAAAGAGGGGTGACCCTTTCCGGGATGGCCGGCTAAGCGTGTCCTCACTGCTTTCCTGCACACCTCCAACGTGTGTTTTCTCCTCGGAGCCTTGCGAACGGATGGGATGAATTTAGGAAAAAATGGATGCAGAGAGGTGGTCCTCTTTCCTCCTCACCTGTGCAGGCGGGGAACGGGAATGCTGCGGGGACATATCAGTAATCTAGCTGAGGAGCAAAGCCCGGCAGCCCGATGGCTGACACACGACTGGGTGATAAGGAAACCATTTCTCATCGTCCACTGGCGTGGAGCTGGTGTTGACCACGAATTTCATCCTGGACCTGAGATCCCCGATCCTGAGGGTGCCTTTCAGCCTTCCTAAAGGGCACAGCTCCTTACTGGTGGGACTGGGAGGAGTCCTAATTCTACCAGCACCTTTCCCGTGTAGTCCGCAAAGGGTTTCTTCATTGCTATCTCATCCCAGCTGGGGCAGGGGAGTTATAAAGCCACTTCATGTTACCCTTTAGCAGTGGCCATGGGGCCTCGTGGGTCCTGAGCCCTGCTTTGAGAACTGCAGGGTGATAAATGGCGCTGGCTGAGTTTAGCCTCTTCTGCTCACACTCGATCTAAAAAGAGCCTTTAATCTTCCCCGCTTAGCTTGCTGTTTCAAGCGATTCGGTTGGTGGTTTATGCTGATGTTTTTCAGTTTCTGGCTTGCTCATGAATTTTCTGCCTGGGCCTGCTGGTGCCTTGGCGTGTCACTTGTCGCTCGAGCTGGTGCCGTGACTCACGGAGCACCGCGCAGCCCGCCAAACCTGCTGAGAGCGCTCACCAGGGCGGTGCGGGAATTCCCCCGGTGAAAAGGCAAGACACCTTGAGCGCCCTGCAGCCTCCAGCGGCACAAAAAGTGGCAGATGCTGGAGCTGGTTCCAGCTGCACCAAGGAGCTCATCCTAAAACCACCATCTTCCAGCACACCAGCTGAGCCACAGCAAGAAGAAACTGGGATTTTCTTCTCCAGGTAGCTTGCAGGACGCCAAAGCTGTGGGTACCGCGATGGTGGTAACTCGTCGTGGGATTTTTTTGGCTCTCCCAGGGGAATACAGAGCGAAAGGGAGCCTGGGCTCCCCGGGAGTGCTTGCTGGCTCTCAGCTTTGAGGGAGCGAGATCTGCAGTGCAGAGCGGAGTGAGAAGCCGGTAGTGATGGTGAATGGTGCCGCTTGAAGATGGTGGACAGTCATGCAGGGAACGGGGTAGGGAATGTGGCCGGGGCTCTCCTGGGCTGCAAAAAAAGGTGACTGCAAAGGGACAGGGACCAGCGGCTGGGAGGGTAAACCGTGTCCCAAAGAGAAGGGCAAGCTGATGAAGACCAGTTTGCTGGCTACGCGCTCCCCCACGATCCCTGCTCTGGCGCAGAGGATGAGGAAGGCGCAAGGGCAGCACACCCCGCAGCGCCTGCCCAAACACCCGTTCAGCCCTGCTCTGGCCGCGCTGGGTGCTGGCTAGCACGCTCCCAGGGTGCTGAGACAAGCCGATGTCTGCGAGTGACCCTGGAAACTTCTACTCCTCTCTCTTTTTTGCCCCCTGATAGCACGTCGCAGCACTTTAAAACGCGGCTGCGTAATCTTATCCCCCACTCTCAGCAGCTGGGGAGCTGGGGCACAGAAAGTGTTGGTTTGCAGAGCGACTCAGCGGCAGAGCGGAAACTGGACTGCTCCTGCTTCCCAGTCCGTGCCCCACTCACTGCCCTGCAGTTTTCCTACGCCCCTTCCTGCCCTGCCCGGCCCTGCCGGAAAGCTGCCGGGCCAGGAGGAGGACGCTGGGTCCTCAGGTGTGGTAATGGCTGGGGACAATTCACATTCACCGTCAGCTCAATGATTTCCATACCTGCTTGAATACCAGCTCCTGATTTCATTTCCGTACCTGTTTGAAAATAAAGCAAGTGTCCACAGCCTTGCACAGCCCAAGAGCACACGTCAGTCTTCCTGAGCGCTCAGCCCTCTGCTCCGCTTTCTGCTCCGAGCGCAGGGATGTCCCCATGAAGGGGATGTCCTCTGCCACCCTACAGCATCCTCAGCCACCCTACGGCGTCCCCCTGCCCAGGGCAGGGACGTCCCCTTGCATCGCCTAGCAGGGACACTCGGATCTGGGATGCGGAGCCGGCGGGATCGGGGATGGGGAGCCGGCTGCCGACTTGGATGCTTGCGTCGCCAGCTCCGACCCGGCTCGGCTGCCCGGCCACCCTCCGCCGGGACCCAGGACCCAGGCTTGCCGCTGAGTGCTCCCGCTGACTGGCAGGCGACCTAGAAAAACCACTGGCTCTGTTTGCATTGGAAGAAGCCCAAGGCTAATTTTAAGGGGTTCATTTAGCTCTGATTTAATCTGGACGGCAGCCTCGCCTATAAATCACGGCTTAATGAGAACAATCCACCTGCCTGCCCTGGCATTTAATAAAATAGAAGAGAACTGGAGTCCCTCCAGGAGCTAAGCGGTCCTCACAAAAGCCATCTCCCTCCCTTGCTATTGAAAGCTCCGGGAGTGGAAAACCCCTTGGCCATCCCCCAAGAGTTGCTCGAGGTGCCTTCGAGGTAAAGCCCAGCCCTGCAAAACGCGGGCGGGCTGCGTGGCCGGTGGCCGGGGTGGAGGGTTGCCGCCGGCCCAAACGCCTTCCTCCCACTCACTCCCACCACCGCAGGAGCAGCTGTTCCTGTTTCTCTAAGGCTATAAAGGATCCTCCAGCCTGTGGCAGCGGCATCGCCTTGTGCCATGGGGCAGGGAGCGAGGGGTGTGGGATGGGCCCCTGCCCTCCAACTTCGGCAGGACAGGCAAAATGGGGCAAAACCGTATCAAGCAGAGACTTTGGAGGGCTTGTCCTACCTCCTGACCCTCCGCCAGGAGCAGGAACCCTAAGGATGCAATCTTACATCTGGAGCATTTTCACCGCCCTTCCTAGTTTTCTCTTTGACATCCCAAGAGCTTTTCCGAGCATCTCCTGCCTCTCACAGCATCTCCCGACACTTACAGCCCGGCCAGGTGCTAATTCCCACTGCCCGGCAGCCCCCACTGGCTCCCCAGCGATACCCACCTTGCTCTTTGAGCCGGATGATCTCCGTGTCGGAGCCGAAGCTGTTCCAGGCAGTGCAGTTGTAAATGGTTTGGAAATCGGCCCGGACAATGTTGCTGATGGTCAGCGTGGAGATGACGCCCTCATCCGTGCTGACCGTCTCCACCGTGTAGCGCCCGGAGGTCCCAGACTCCAGGACGTTCTCCTTCCAGGACCAAGCCTGCCAAGCAAGAGAGGGGTCAGCCTGGGGCGGGTTTGCCCACCGTAGGGCACCCTAAAGTGTGCGAGGCACCCACTGTGCCCCATGGGCTGCTACTCACAATTCGGTCTGGTGGCGGGGTGCTGCGGATGAAGCACTTGATCTGCCCCTTCTGGCCATGCAGGGCGTGCTGCGTCTGGGTGCTGGAGATGATGGGTGGCCCTGCAAGAGAGAGGAGAGGGCTGCTGGCATCTCGCGCGGGTGGCTGCAATACACGGTACTGGTGGCGATGCGGGGGGGTGTTAGCAGAGCTGGGGAGGGACATCGGAGTCCCCCTTTGAGGGGGACGGATGGAGCAACAGCTCCTTCTGCATCCCCATGACGTGGAAGGACACAGAGCGGGGGCTTTGCTTTAAGGCTCTGCTGGTTTTCCGCAAAGCCCCCCCCAAGCGCCAGCATCTCCCCATCTCTGCTCCCCCATCCCCGGTGTTGGATGGCGATGAAATCACCCTGCGGAGATCTCCTTGGTGAACCTGGCCTCTGAGAAGGGCTGTTTGCTCCAGCAGCAAAGCCAGAGCCCAGCCCACCTGGTGTTCCTCTTCTGCGCTCTCCCAGATTTGTTAAGCGAGCGTTACACACTAATTGCTCCCCGGGGGCTTAAGGAAGCTGTAGGAGGGCAGGAGGAGGCACTGACGGGCAGCTGCTACCTGCAAGCCCCGCATTGCTGACCTGCAATCAGCCCGCCTGCTGCGGTGGAGAAATTTCTGCTGGAAAAAAAACCTTGGGACCCCATCACCTGGGCTCTCCTGCACCATTCAGATCCCGAAGGAGGCCAGCCTGGCTGGGAAAGGCTCTCCCTGCGCGATACGAGGCTGAACGCACCAGCTGAGCCAGCTCGTGAAGGGAAATGTCCTTGTCCTGCCTTGGTGGACATCCTGAAGGCAAGGTTGGGAGAAAAAAGGTTGGAGAGGAGAGCATGGCTCGGTGGGATCGGCGTGTCCCCCACTCTTCCAACAGCCCTGGGTGGGGGACCTCCCCCTGAGGAGGGGATCACCCCAAGGGAGCAGCACAAGAGCTGGGATCCTAATTGCTGTTTATTAGCCTCCTTATTTAAAGCAGATTTGCATTTCTACGGGTGGCTTGCGGCCGGCAGAAAAGAAAGCAGCACCAGGGATGCAGGCAGCAGTGCAGGGCAGGGCGAGGGAGGAGGCAGGGGCTGGCAGAGCTCCCCCTGCCCCAGCTCGGCTATTTCGGATGTTTGCTCTGGGCTGTCACTCCTGGTTTTGAGTCTGTCACTGGCTTTATCAGAAAATGCAGCCTTGCCGTCATGCCCACCCAGGCACGCGTGTTCGGAGCGATGTGCGAACACCCTCGGGCTCCGTACGGGCCATGCGGAGTGGGAGAGCTGCAGCAGGAGTTGGTACAAGAGGCCAGTGCCGCTGGGGACAACCTCAGGTGGGTCTCGAGCCCAGGTCTCCGGGATGGTCAGCATGGGAGAGCTTGCTGTGCTCGTCCTCTCTCCCATCAATCCATCCTTTCTGGATTTGAGACACTTTTCCCAAATGTCTTTTTTTTCCCCCCTGCGGCCAATGCGTTCCTTTAAGAAAAGTCCCAGGGATCTGGGGTGAAGTGGGGAGAAACAGATTTGCCTGGGTACTCCTGACTGGTTCTCATCCAAATGGCCCATTTATGAATTTGCAGAACGCGCAAAAACGTACCAAAATGCTAAATTCTTCACTCTGGTGCTTCCATACATACAGTTGCCTATTGAAATGACCCCAGTAACACCTTTCTGCACCAAACTTTCCCACTCCCCAAATGCTTCCCACCGAGATACAGCCCTATCCTTCCTTCCCTATGATGTTCCGAGGTGAGATGCAAGGAGAACCAGCTCAGTGAAGCGCACTTCACTGACCAGTGACCAGAAACGTGGTTCTGGCAGCTCGGGAAATTACTGCTGAAAGTGAGCCGCTGTCCAAATTGGTAATAGCAGGAGCCATGCGTGAAGGAGAAGGTCAGGACTCGTTTTGATGTCATGGTCATAGCTGTATGTTAGTGGAAACTTTTGTGCTCCTTTATATCAGAAACAGGGGGAAAAAAAAAAAGACATTTTGTTGTGGTTTTCTGCCCAAATGCTCTTCTTCAAGATGTTCTAGGCACGCTCCTAAGGCGTGCATTCTCATTTATCCATCGCTGAAAGCCCATCTTTCAGAAGTGCTGGCCAGGGTCTCAGGAGAGTTCGGTTGATTCCTTGCTTTGCCTCCCTTCAGGAGGATGCAAACGACATCCTGCCTCCGTGAAAGAACATCTTGCTCTTTCCAAGCGTGCCCAAGGTGGTAGCATCAGCTAGCCTTGGCCTTCGCTCCCCGTGCCCGGTGCAAGAGCAGAACCGCGCCGACAGCCAGGTGTGATGGGCAGATGGCCCTAAACGTGTGCTGGGGCTTTTTCCTCCTGGACAGGACACGTGATAGGGACCCATTTGGCCCCATCACCTTCCAAGGGTGGCACAAGGCATCTGGGATGAGCTTCTTGGCTAACTAAACACGTGCTAGGCGATCCTCCTGCTCGCCTGCCCCGATCGCTGATGAACCCAAAGCCAACGGAGGCAAGAGCGGCGATGGGATCTGTAGGCCAGGCCTAAATAATAATAAAAAAAAGGCACCATCTTCTTTCTATTTCAACGGTTGTGTGTTACTTATAAATTCTGGAAGCTCTCCAAGACTGGGTGACGCTGGAGAAAAATGGCTTAATAATCATTAAAAGGATCATTTTCCCCAAGGAGAGTGGATTTTAAATGGCACAAATGCCAACGGCTTTGGGTTTTATTATTGCTTTAGGAGCTCAGAGGCGAAGGCTTATCATCATGATAATAGCCTATGACTAAAGACCATTTGTGAGATGAACATGCCCAGAAATAATAGCATGAAGTTGCAGCCTCTTCACATTTGGGGCCGGCGTTTGATTCTCCACCAGGCTCTGGCTCCTTATGAAAGCTGCCAATCTCCGGCTTGGCATTCAGCGCTAAGTGTGAGACAGCCCACAGGCAGGAAAAAGGCTTTAAACAATGTTGCTATGGATATAAATGATGGAGCTATTGGTTGCGGTTATTTTTAGCATGCCGGTGCCAATTTATTTGTGCGGTCCTGGCGGCTCGCACAAAAGAGAAGGCAGCTTGCTGACTCGGGAGCCTTGGAGGAATGAAAGGATGGCCTCAACTTCTCCAGCCTGCTTGAGTCTATCTGAACCCTTCCTCCCAAGCCCTCGCAACGTTGGCAGTGGTTTGGCAGGAGAGTTTGGTTTAACTCCTTGCTTCCAGCAGAAGCCCTGGGCTGGCTCGCACTGCCCGGTATTGCAAGGGACCATCCCAAGGTCCCCACCTGCCGGTGGTGGTGGAGACATGCTCGGTGAAGCCCTCAATGGGCTGCCGCAGGTGTGAGCTGAGGGGACACCGTGACGTTCTCCTGACCAAGCAGCACAGCAGGTCAGCCCCTCCTGTGCTCCCAGCTCACCGGCAGGCTTGTTGGGGTGAATCCCAGGTGAATTCCATCCTGAATTAGCCACCCGGGGTCATCCAGCCCTTCTAACAAACCTCTTCTTGCAGAGCGAGATGGGCAGGGGTGGCGGTCCCGGCTCAGCAGCCCCTGCCAAGCCCGGATGATGCATCGACAGACCGTACCGTGGGCAATCCCGCTGCGGAGGTGATCTTGACAGGACAAGGAATAATGGATTTAAACTAAAGAAGAATAGATTTAGACTGGATATAAGGAAGAAACTTTTTATAACGAGGGTGGTGAAGCACTGGCACAGGTTGCCCAGAGAGGTGGGAGATGCCCCATCCCTGGAAACATCCCAGGCCAGGTTGGACGGGGCTCTGAGCAGCCTGCTCTGGTTAAAGCTGTCCCTGTCACTGCAGGGGTTGGGCTGGGTGGGCTCTAAAGGTCCCTTCCCACCCAAAGCATTCCATGATTCGGTGATTCTATGGTCTTGGGGCGCTTCTCCTACCAGGGTGGGAGCTTCAACCAGGCTTGTGCGCAGTCAGGAGCATTGAGAGGCTTTGGCTCGTGCAGGGGCTGTAAATCTGACTGCTGCTGATTTATGATGGCACCAACAGTTCCTCGCTTCCTTCTTGCCTCTGCTGCTCCGGCCCTGCCAAATGCTGCTCATTTGCATAATCCTCCTTCCCATTAACGAGACTCTGAATCATATCTGCTTCCTTTCAGGCTGGTGGCCTCGCGCTCCGGCTGGGGATGGGCTGCCAGCCCCTCTCTGCAACCGCAGACCTGGCCGGCGAGGCTGCCGGCGGGGAGGGGAGCGAGACCCGCTTGCAGCGAGGGCAGGAGGATGCTCTCCCACCCCAGCATCGTGCTGCCGCAATTTCTGACTGTTCTGAGAGCGGATGGGCGGCTACAGGCAGGATTGCATGCTCAGGCTGGGTTGGATGAAGATTCCCTCAGGCAGGGTCCCTGTGCTTTCAGCGGGATGGATCAGCCCCTTCGAAGCCCGCGTGCACTGATCAGGGTCTGTGCAGGTAGCCCAGAACACACACTTCTAAATGCCAAATTTTACTGTGACGCATCTCAGCCCACAGAGAAAGGCACCTGGTAATACCAAGAAAATTGTATCACCCTCTGGATTTAAAATCACTTGAAAATATGAAGTGCTCAACTTCCCTCTCAAATTACAGCGGAAAAGACTTTCAGCAGAATTCATTAGCCGGATTAGACACACCGTGCTGTGCTCCCAGAGCCGGGAGCTGCTCCGGCTGCAGGGCGGGCTGCCAAGCCCCGGTGCCCGGTGGACGTCGGACCTGGGGCCGCTGCTCTGGGCCTTGCCCATCTTGGTTCTCCTAGCTCAGAGAGCCAGGAGACCATCTCGACCTGGAGGAGGAGATGAGGAGCCAGGAGACCAATTCTCCCTTGGTGTAGGGTCTGACGCCTGTGACGGCGTTGCCCAACGTTGTCACCTCGGGGTTGCACCAAGCCCCAGCAGCGGATCTCCCAGCAGCACGTCCGAGTGGGATGGGATGCCACAGGCAGTCGGCTCCCAGGAGATGCTCGAAGCTGAGCGGCAAACCTCAGGGATTTCAGTTGCTCCCCTGTCAGCTCTGCAAGGCGAAAAGCTCAGCGGCGGCACAAGCCGCAACACTCTTAAGAGAAGCTTTGCCATGCCGCACGCTCCAAACGCAGCCTGCTGAGCGCTTTGCTCAGCGTTCAAGGCGGCCGTGTGCCTGGTAGGTGTCAGAAAAGGAGCAGGTTCTTTGTTTGTGCTAATTTGTTGCTTTGTTTTCCGTGAGCTAGTTTAATTGTAATTAAAACCCAGCAGCCGCCAGGGAAGGAGCATGCAGGCGCTGAGGAGCTGAGTTGAAGTCAAGGGAGTGGTTGGTTTTCAGTCCCCTGCTGCGTTGCCCTTGGCTTCCCTTTCTAGCATTATCTGCATTTAAAACTAACGCTTGCCGCCGCCTGTGCTGCTTCCCCGCTTATTTTCTTCTCTTTGTGACAGTGAGCGGGGACTGAAGCCTGTCAGTTTGTCATACAGGTGAGAGACAACGCAAAATCCATACCCTGTTCATACCATTTGCAGCCCGCCTGGCTCTTTCCCGTCCATATTTAGGCTGAAATTCATTAGCGGCTGCTGCGGGGTCCTGGCCAGATCATCGTTAAACTCCAGGGCTCTAGAACACGTCCCAGCTCCCGGGCATGGGTGAGGGTCCAGGCCGCATCCTGACACCGTGCTGGGTGAGCCCCGAGCAGCTGTGGAGGAGCTGTCTGGCACGGCTGCCTCGCACAGGTATCCTCACGTGGGCTCTGAGAGAGTGATTAGGCTGCCAGTCTCGCATCCAGGCTCAATTCCCAGCTCTCTGGCTGTACAACAGAGACAACAGTGCTCTCCGACCTTGCAAGGGTTTTGCAAGATAAATCTATTAAAGATTTAAAGACACCGGCTCCCAACTACTCAATAAACCCCTGTTGATAATAAGGAACCAAGCAGGTCTTAGGTAACATTGGGTTTTTTTTTTTTTCTCCTTTAACCCATGCATCTCCAAGCAAATGAATGCAAAATCCTAATTGCTCGTATTGCCTGCAGGCCAGGATCCAGTTGTGGGTGGGATTTGCTCTGTAAGCAAATACCCGAGGGGATAATTCGGCAGCGTGAGCCGTCGGAGCAACAGGAACAACGCAAGGAGACGGCAGGGTGGAATCGCAGTAGGAAAGCAAGAGGTACCGTTGACGGTGAGCGTCACCTCCCGCTCCCCCGCGCCAACCCGCGGGACCACGGCTCGGCACACGTATTTCCCAGCGTCTTCCTGGCGGACGGACTTCAGGGTCAGCTTGTTCTCGTTGCTCAGGACCTGGAAGAGAGGAAGGGGTGGCTTTCAGAGGGACGCGATGCGAAGTTGAACACTAGACTCGTGTTACAAGCTCCAGAGCAGCCCGGAGAAAGTGAAGCAGATGAGCCCAACATCTTACATGGCACGGAAATACCACTTATTGCTGTTGACCAAGGAATAAAGAAATGACCCAGTTTGGTGGGGAAATATAAATCCTGTTCCTATTCATTTGAATTTTTACAAACTCCAGTTTTGCAAGAAGCTCCAGATACAAGAGAAAAATTTTGGTGGCTGCAGTGACGCGACTGCCTTGTAACCCGGAGTGAAAAAGCCTTCGACAGAACCATGCTCCACACTTGCACTTCCATGCTCGCAGGTGCAGGGGAGGCTGCCAGGATGGACTCAGGGATTTCAAACCCAGAAGTGGTGGGAGACCAACCCGGAGAGCTGGCAGGCCCCTGGGAACCGGGTCGGGATAGCCGGGGAAATCTCAGCCGCTTTTGGCAAGCCCTCCCTACAGACCGCCTGCACCGTGGCTATCAGCCACGCTGCCCTCCTGCCCCGGCAGTGCAATTAGCAGCGTTATTAAACCTTGAAAATTGCTGAAGCAGAGGGATTGGGCTGAGGCTGTCAGCAGAAACCCGGCACTGGTGGTATTTAAAAAACCGTGGCAGGTCTAAAACAAATAGCGGCTTTCGGAGCAATGGATTTCCGTGCTGGAAATGTGTGCCCGGGGGCTAATTCCTCCCGGCTGCCCTTGCCTCTCTCCCCCAGGACTTTGCAGGCTGGGGCCAGCCCATCGCCTCTCCTCCTCCCAGCACCCACTTGCTCAGCCAGCCCCCGGCTCTGCTGGTTGCTGCTCCCAGAGCCGATGCCTCTGGGAATCTGTTGCTGACGCTTTGCAAAGCCCTCGGTGCCCTGAGCAGTGGTTGGATACATACCTGGGTCTCCCTGCAGCAAGAAGATGGGGGTCTCACGCCTAACCTGGCATGAGGCAGATGCACAGAGTTTCAAATCCCTTTTAAACCCACTGTTTCAGCATCGATTACCAACATTTCCATGTAAATGCCTGGCCTTACTTGGCCTCATCCTTTTTTTTGTCTCTGATTTGTTTCCTTCTGACGAAGTTAGGAGGAAAGAAGGTAATAGTGGGAGCCTGACCTGGCTCCGAAAGCGGAGGGGCTGGGAAAAAAAGCAGCCCTGCTCCCACATCCCACTGCACCAGCATCCCTCTGGGAAGATGGAGGCGGCTCTGCTGAAGAGCACAAGCCTCTCTGCTGGGTTAAACCAGCCGGTGGGTCCGTCCTGAGCCCTGACGTGCTCCAAGCCAGCACCAGCCAGCTAGAGCAAGCCAAATAAAAATGGGAGAAGGCTGCTCTGCCTGCGTGCTGCCTGGGAGCTGCCCGTTAGCGAAGGCAAGCCCTGATGTGCGGCTGGGGCTGGATGGCGAGGGTCAGGAAACCCTCGTCCTCGCTCTGTACGGCTCCTTTCAGCTGCCCTCCACACTCCAGCGGCTTTGAGAAAATGAAATAGCAGGCTACGGTGTGAGAGCACTGCCTATAACGATAATAACCCAGCGAAACAACCGCCGCAGCTGCAGGATGGGAAACCACCCAGGGATTATTGACCCACTGGGATTCCTTAGCTGATTTGAGCCATCAGCTCTCCCAAGTCTGTAATTACTTCCCAGGAGACGGTCTTCGCCGAGGTCATTATGGTTTGGAAAATATACCCCAGCAGTTAATGCCTCAATGTCTGCTCCCCTCCTCGGTCTGCGCCGGGGAGCGGAGGTGAGGAGAGCGACTCAGCCCCTTCATCTCGCTCCCGCGCGAGTCCAGCTCTCCGACAACACCCGGTCTCGAGCTGCCTAAGTCGGCGTTGCCTCATCGACTTCAGGACGCATCTGCCCAGACAAAGCTGAAAGATGCTTTTTCAAACCCAAAACCTGCGTGTGCCTTCCGGACGAGTTTCACGTCTCGGCCCTCCTTTAGCTTCTTAACGTGGCTTTGCTCAGCCCTCCCATCGGTAAAGAGGGGATCAGAGTATCTCGCGCTCCCTGGGCTGACTGAGCCGCGATTAAGATTTGCAAAGCTCCTTACACTTTTCAGGACAAAAGAGACATGGAGAAGGCTGCCGGGCCAGATCCAGACTCCCCCGACTTGAGCAGGCTCCAGCCCATGGCGGAGGTGAGCTGGGGTGAACGTGTTAGGCTGTGAGCTCACAGGTCTGGAGGGCGGAAAGGACCGTCCCGGAAAGGACCACGTGTGGGTGATCTGCAGAAGCGCTCCCTGCCAGCGAGAGGTTAAGTCATGCTCTCTGGCCTCTGTTCAACCCTCATGGCCATCATCATGGGAATCACTCGTCCTTCCCTTAGGGCTCCGTGTCCAGAGAAGGGCAACGGAGCTGGGGCAGGGTCTGGAGCACAGGGCTGGTGGGGAGCGGCTGGGGGGGCGGGGGGCGGTGAGCCTCGGGG